CTAGTGATCTAGTGGTCTAGTGGTCACACCAATCTAACAAAGCAAGAGATTGAAAGCATGCAGCTGCCATGCAACTGCATGTGCCTAATTCTATGATGGTAGGGGACAAAGGCCTCTTGCTCGTTTCCTAATCACATGATTTGTTTCTAATTAACATTTTTCTAGATATACATTTAGCATTATTTGGAGCCATGCACTGATTAATGCTACAACTTCTCTAAGGAATGCTTGACAAAAACTATTAATCTGATGCAAAAATTCGCCACTGTATACGCCTAGATTCCATGCATGGTTCGTGTGCTAACCCTAATTGCCACCCTTTTCTTTTCATTTTAATTATTTTAGTAAGAAAAATATTGTAACCATAAAAGAAGATAAACGCGATCGAGTCATCAAAATACGAATTTTTTTATTTTTTAACAATTTAAGTAACTTAATACAGATCTCACTGATGATATGAGTTCATTCCACAAAATTCTCTCATGATCTGAGTCGTCTATTTTTAAATATTATTGTGAGCATTTTATATTTGTCAACAACCCTGTATTCCTTTATTGATCAGATTAGTTAGATAACTAGTTAACGGTGGACACTTTTATACATAAATGAGTGTTTCATATATAGTTAGGTTTTCTTTAGGGCCATTGAAATTTGATCTAACGGCTACAAACAGAGGGTCGGGCCCTCTAAAAGTTATAATTATTATAGCCGTTGGATCAAATTTCAATGGCCCAAATGATCCGGTCAGGAGGATCCCCACCCTATGCTCAGGAGGGGATCCGGTTCCATATATAAATTTGACACACACACACATATCTATATACGTGTATATATAAATATTTAAGTAAGTGAATATGTAAATATCTTTAATTAAGTATAGTGGTCAATGAATGGGAAAGAGATTCTCTCCGGATCTCTTCCACTAAGGTCACCGGATCAAATGATCCGAACCTTTGAAATTTCATCAAACGGTTAAAAATTATTATAGTTTTTAAGAGATTAAAACAGATGAGTCATTTGATGAAATTTCAAAAGTTCGAATAATTTGATCCGGTAACCTTGGTGGAAGAAATCCGAAAATAATCTTTTTTCCCAATTAATAGAGCGTTCGTGTTTCGATCATTCTAATGAGAATGATTTGACAATGTATCAGTAGCCCATCCACAAATATTATTAAACCAGAAATATATATAATTATTTCGCATTGGTTTTGTGGGGATACAATTTGACCATGAAGTGTGAACCAAACCAAAAGGCATCGAAATTATAGCTTTAGTTAATTTTAAAGATTTTTAGGGCTAGTTTGAGTTTACTAATTTTTTTTTTTAAAAGCAGCTTCTTATAAAGTTAGAGTTAAAATTGTGTTAGGTAAATAAAAAATAATAATTTTTTTTTCTTTGAAATCATGGATCTAAAACAGTAAAAAGTAGAAATCGCTCTACCCATGCTTCTTAAAAGCGTTTTTATCATAAAAGACAGGTGAACAGTAACAATTAATAAAACTTTCACAGTGAGAACCTTACCCAGTCTCTTTCTCCAAAACCTAATACTTCTGCTGTGACGAAGAAGCATTTTGAAAAAACGTACAGCGGTAAGAATAAAATTAGTACAAGGTAGTTACATTGCTTTGAATACCATGGATGGATTGATGCTACACCAAGACTTGCTCAGCTTTTAATATGTAAGACATTCCTCCCCGCATACAAATTTAATTATGTTTTGACGTGTGTGCAAGCATTTTCGCTTGTATTTCCATGAGTTAATGGTATACATATGTTTTAAACTGAAATTTTATACAATCAGTCAGGATGGTGAGGACCCAGTTACATTGTTAAGCTCTAGAAGTAAGATTTTGATTGGTTTTGATATTATATTGCTTTGAATACCATGGATGGATTGATGCTACACCAAGACTTGCTCAGCTTTTAATATGTAGGACATTCCTCCCCGCATACAAATTTAATTATGTTTTGACGTGTGTGCAAGCATTTTCGCTTGTATTTCCATGAGTTAATGGTTTATACATATGTTTTAAACTGAAATTTTATACAATCAGTCAGGATGGTGAGGACCCAGTTACTTTGTTAAGCTCTAGAAGTAAGATTTTGATTGGTTTTGATATTATACTGTAAGAGCAGAAACGAAATGACTTCCCCTACTTTTGCTGGTTTTAAATAATTGGATTGTTGCTTCCCATTTTGTCCAGATTCATTAAGTGAAATCACATCAATTCAATTAGTAGCTTTTTCAATTAGTAGCTTAAAGGCAAAGGGAAAGGGACACTCTTGCTAGGTTTTTGTGCGAATTAAAAGACCTAGATTTTACTAGGAAACTCAATTTCCCAAATAACAGAAAGTGGAAACTGCACAACACGATTCGAGCAGATGTGGTTTCAAATGAACTTATAACACAGTGCCACACTTACTAAAAATCAAATTGGTCGATGTACACGTAGGGAATTTCACAAGAGAAAAATTGATAGAAAACAACTTCCACCCCTTGTTTTCCCTTTTGGCAGGATAGGTATATCACTGATCAGTCACAGGCTGATTATTAAGCTAATTAAATTCCATATAACTATAACAAGGATTAGTCTAATAAGTATAAGATAATCAAAGATTTGGATGCGTTCCTTTTGCCGCCTCTTGTGCTTGTCACACCCACATATATGCCAGTATGATGATTATAAATGATAGAGTAGGATTTTCTCCCCTCTAAATCCTCCTCCTCTTCACTCACCTCCTATTTGAACGGTCACAATTAAGCCACTTAGTATCTGGAGTTGACTTCTTTGTACAAAGAATAAAAAAGAGGAAAGTGAGAAAGGAAGAGACCGAAGGGGACTAGAGGGGAGGAGATTTGGAGGGAAGATAATATTTTTCCATAAATATAATTGGCCAAGTTGGCTTTTTATTTTATTTCGAGTACTTTTGGTTTGAGGCAAGGTATAAAATATCGATGATATCAGAAATATCGGTACTAAAAAAACACGGAAATTTCAATGGAAATATCGGGATATTATCGATATCGATAAAAATTGAATAAAAACCACGAAAATTGTAGGAAAAATTTGGAAATTTTTATTAAAATTTTGAAGGATGTTTATTTAGTCAATTATCTATTAGTTTATCACAAAAAAATTGGAAGAAAATTCATTGCATGATGGATTTAACTGATTTAAGTTGATTATATAGCGAGCTGGCAAACATTGTGAGTGTAGAAAATATGTAGTAATTAATGAAAGAAGTTTAAACACACCATAATCATTTATATATAATGAATTAGTACAATATTTTACACTTCATACATTGCATGGTAAGATACATGAGTGACTTAGTACCTCATAGAGTTCCTATCAATGTCTAAAATATCGATGATATCGGAAATATCGGTACTCCAAAAACACGGAAATTTCGATGGAAATATCGGGATAATATCGATATTTTAGACCTTGGTCTAAGAACACCTCAAATTTAATCCAAGTTAACCACTTTGAAGTTTGTACTTTTTTTTAACGTTGGGATAAAACCGTTATCATCACATGAAAAATAATAAAAAGATAATATATTGTCAATAATATTGTGTGCAAATAGAAACAGGGAGATGGTACATATTAGTATCAAGTTTTAATTAGTTGGTTAGAACTATTCAGACTTGACAAAACTCATTGGATACAATTGTAGGACACCTGTCCACTATGTTGATTGAGAGATATCAATATCAAAGATGTTGAGAAATGGCTATGATTTCACAAAACAAAACTAAGAGGGGTTCAATGTTGGTGATAAAAGGCCATATAAACCATGTTATATGGTCGTCGTTTATGCGTTTAGTCATTCTCGGTGGCCAAACCTTTGCCAATCAAATGTGAGAGATTTTTTAATGCCAGGAACACAATCGAGTATACCAAATGTCATAATACAAGTGGTTGGATACTTAAAAAAGAAATTTCTTGACTATTTATATTATGATACTTGGTATACCAAGCTATATTCCGGACACACTAAAAATTCGATGCGAGAGAGGACAGGAGAAAAAGACGAGGAAATGCATGGGCCATGCATGTTGAATTAATGGTATAGTGGAAGTTTGACGTGCAGTACTCGGACCACATTGTGTGACAATATTACTAATCAAACAAACACATATATTATTGTACTTATTGGCCTCCTTTATTTTCATTACAGACAAGATAATTTAGATAACATGTTCTTGTATAATCTTAAACATAATGTTGGTGGACACCAATGTGTGATCGCTACTTTTACATAGTTCACATAAAAAAGTGTTCTTTTATTTTTTTTTTGGTTTTTTATTAACGAGGAATATGATATTTGAATTTGAGACATTACGTAACATTATTAAGACAAACATCAGCAGAAAATGAATTGAGAGGTATGTATGGAAAGTGAGTAATTAGAAGATGACATTTATCTACCAATAATTAAGAAAATTGAGAAGAGAAGAAAGAAGCATCTTAATGTGGAGCGAAATATGGCATGGTACATTAAATGTATACAAATGGTTGACACTCGAATAATTAAACTTCTCCTTAATTATATATATCATGACATTTACTGTATTGAACCGTATTCTAGACACGACAAATTTCTTCTTAATGTGAACCAGCCCACAAAGGATGTCAGAGGGCCGAGCCCAGATTGATTAAAAATATATATATATATATATATATTATGGGCTCAGAAAGCCCCAAACTCAGAAAGAAGAGAGTGCCGAGCCCAGATTGATAAAAAATAAAAAACAAAAAATAAAAAACGATGGAGGTGCGGGGAATCGAACCCCGTGCCTCTCGCATGCGAAGCGAGCGCTCTACCATATGAGCTACACCCCCGAATGATAATGCGTTAGTAACAGGCATAGTTAAAGATTTTGACAATCAAGTTTCCCTGAGCCAAGTATTTTTGATAAGCAAAACTGACAGCTGTATTTTTGAGCGTGAAACGCGCAGGCGGTGGGACGACTTCCATATTTCAAATTTGTCCCCTTTGTCAGACAACCAGACGAATTGGAGTTTCATCAGATTGGGGAGTTCGGAGGTCAAAGGTATTATGTTCTTAGATTTCTAGTCCTCGTGTTTTTTCCTTTCAAAATTTTCATCCTTCAAATTTTCATGGCTTCAAATAAGTATAAAAATCGACCAGAAATTAATTCAATTTGATAAGTTTTTAGCTTCGTCTTAGCAAACTCCGTAATTTTTGTGAGTTTGGATCCAAATATGCAGGAACTGTCTGTTGGTTTTATCCAAAAAGCTTGGAGTTTGAAGTGTTTTGTCCCAGTACAGATATCAGGCCTTATTTCGTGAAATATTCTTTGGTCGGACAGATGATCACGTCACTCATCCGACCCCCCACACACAGACTCTTACCGCCGGTGAGACGGGAAGAGGGTTGTGTGAGAGGAGTCTTGATTTTCGTGTATATAATCAGACGGATGACGTGGTGCACTAAACAACTTAAAATATTTTTTCCAATTTCACGAAGGGAATTCCATGCTTGATAGAGTTCGGGAGATTTTCGAATAAGAAAGCAAGGTAGTTAGTGCTCATGACGTCAGTCTCTGCCGAATACAAGCCATGCAAAGTTCTTTACGTCTTTGTAAGAAAAAATGTGACTTTTACGGTTTTACCAGAGTTTGCTGCTCTTGATCATGACGAGACCAGGTACAAGAGAAGGTAAGAATTTCCACTTCAGGTTTTCAGGACCACAAATTTGCAGCGTCGCTTCAACGAACAGATTCAGAATTGTTTTCCCCATCTGGGCACGAGGGAAATTTCGGTAGTAATGCCTGACTAGGACGACTCTCACTCCAGCTGAAATCGAGTAGGTCAGATGGGATCAAAATACGTTTTTCTCGTTTGACTACAACCTTGCATTTGTAGAAAATTTCAGATCTGCACAGTGCCTACGTACCTCATGAGGTGCTGATTGCATGGTTAAAGCCACATGAGTACAAGTAGCAGAAGATTGTTTCACAAAAAAACACCAAGGCTTGTGGAATAGTGAGAGAACAGACACAAGGATATGGAGCCAGAGGCAACTATGGAAGCTACCTGCAGCACTCATGAGGAGTCAAGCACAAAAGAAGATCACCATCGTCTGATTCTAAGTCCGGCGTCACGCTTGTTCCATTCCCCGCGGTTCAACTGTTACATCGTTATTATCATGGGATTCAAGACGAGGATCGATTCAAACATTGTCAAAAATGGTTTGAAAGTCTTGCACAATCATCCTCGCTTCTCTTGCAGGCTGGTAAAATCAAACATTTCCATTCCGTACTGCTTGTTTTTTCCTTTCTGCATACGAAAATTACTTTAGGAGAGGACTCGCGAACAAGTGGGACGTCATTGTGGCAGTATTCTAACCTAATCAAGCACTTTCACGTGTTTAAACTGTGTGACATTGTTTGATTTGGTCTGGGATAACGCCACGGTTGTGTTCCATTTGTAAGTACTTGATTGTTTTAACTTCCCCCTCAGCTGCAGCATGCGAATAATGCTATATACAGTTGATGATTTACAGTTTTCTCTTGTATAAGGATGACAGAGGCGGAAAGAAGAGATGGATTCAAGTTTCGGTAAATCAAGAAGACCATGTTTTTGTTCCAACCTTGAATTCAAAAATAGAACATCCGGAGGAATTTGTAGAAAACTACATTTCCAACCTTACTGCATCACCTCTTGACCTTTCCAAGCCGTTGTGGGAGGTACATCTCCTCAACGTCAAAACCTCGAACGCAGAAGGGCTTGCAGTGATCCGGATGCACCACTCTATGGGAGATGGCGCATCTCTCATGTCCCTTTTGCTAGCATGTACTAGAAAAACATCCGACCCAAATGCACTGCCTAGTGTTCCCACCCAGAAACGGGCGGATTCCTCAAGTGATCTGGGCTGGTTCTGGCGTTTCATCTTGGCTATTTGGTATGGTATCACACTGATAGCGAACACTTTGGTCGATATAATGTTGTTTATAGCAACACTTCTATTTTTGAACGACACAGAAACTCCTATCAAAGGTTCATCTGATGTTCATCTAACCACCAAACGCTTCTTGCATCGGACTGTCAGTATGAATCACATAAAGCAAGTGAAGAATGCGATGGGCACGGTATGTTGATAAGTTCATGAATAATGCGTATAGGCATGCGTGCACGCACGCTTGTTTCGGAAAAGCTTCTAAAAACTAAAAATTGAAGCAGTGTATTAGTTTCATTGATACATTTTTTTTTTTCTTTTGAAAGTATGTAGTGTTACATTTAGTTTTTTTCTGACATTGGAACATTAACCAGACTGTCAATGATGTTGTCTTGGGAGTGACACAAGCGGGTCTCTCGTGCTATTTGAATCGCAGATACGGTGAGTTTCCTTGGAATTGAATCATTAACATTGTCTTGTTAGTTGAGTTTTTGAGCAGATAATACCAGTAACATTGTTCTGTTAATTGAGTCAATAACACTTTTCTTCGTTTTTTGTTGCTAAGTTTCCGTTGTTTTCAATTGTGAAGCGTCTTCGAAATGTTTAGAGAAGTTCTAAACTCACACATAAAGATTTCATAGTAACATTATTCTGTTTAGCAGGCCAAAATGTGAAAGATGTCGGAACAAAGCAGGAAGGGAGCAATCTTCCGAAAAATATGCACGTCAGAGCTAACATTCTCGTTAATTTAAGACCAACTGTTGGGATCCAGGTGATTAGCATATATACCATTCAGCAGTTGTTCAGGAAGTTTTTCGCCACGAAAGATGCTTGGTTGGCCTAGCTCACATATACTGTTTTGTTTCTAATGTTAATTGCATAACAGGATCTGGCTGATATGATGGCTAAGAAGTCCAAGGTCAGGTGGGGTAATTGTATAGGTTATATCCTTATCCCCTTCACCATTGCTCTACAAGATGACCCGTTGGATTATGTTCGCGGAGCCAAAGCTGTCATTGATCGGAAAAAACACTCCCTCGAAGCTTTCTTCACATACCTGACTGCCAATCTCTTAATCAAAATAATAGGAGCTAAGGTACCAATAATTCCCTCCATTTCATCTAACATATTTTCGATTCGAAAGAGCAAAAACCAGAATAGTTTCTAAGAATGTCCATATATATGTGTATGTGCGCGCGCAGGCAGCAGGAGTTTTAGCACACAGAATTATTTCTCATTCTACATTCTCCTTCTCAAACTTGGTTGGTCCCCAGGAAGAAATTAGTTTTTACGGCCATCAAATAACTTTCATGTCTCCTCACGTTTACGGGCATCCTCACGTAAGTTCTCTTATAATTCATGCACATAATTCTCCTTGACCACGAACTTGCCTCCGAAATCCACCAATTTAACTGCAGTCGAAGGGGAAAAAACCACAAACAACTGGTTCCGTTTCGGATTTGTTTATGTTCAGTGTTGCTCATTATGCTGCAGGCATTGCATATGCATTGGCAAAGCTACGCGGATGAAATGACAGTTTGCTTAACTGTTGATCCGAATGTAATACCTGATCCTGAGAAGTTGTTGGACGATTTAGAGGAATCGCTTAAACTCATTAGTCACGCTGTCATGGAAAGAGGGCTCGCCGTGGACGTTGTCTAGCGCGAAAGGTGGCGTGCAGTTTGTCTTTTTTTAGTTAGTTCATTGGAGCAGCCATTCTCGTGTTGGGGAGAATCGTTGATTTGCTTAGAATACCGTCACTGTAACATTCCAGTTGCTCGAAAATGTTCATCTCCTTTTGTTGCATGCTTTGGCTGGATGTAGTAAAGGGAGAGCTTTGATCTGTTACATGTAAAACCATTACACAGTGAAATGAAACCTGAATTTCTTCCCTTTACATATTACCTCTTCTTACCTAAACATTACAGGATTTTGGACTGCTTCTGTAAGAAGCACTTACAAGCGATTTTTAAAAAATGCTTCTAAAAGAAGTATCCACAAAATGCTTTTCAAAAAACGCTTCTATGATTCATAAAGAGTTCTAAATTTTTTCTACCAAACGGAGTTAGAAATGTTTTCTATTATTAAGTCTTTCATTAATACTTGTGCTTTCTTTTCATTATGAATTGTACTCGGGTCATATTAAAGCCAAATATAATAAATCTGTTAAAATTCATGGGATGTGTTGTGTCAACATTAGATACTAGGGATGGGCATGGACCAGACCGGGCCAAAATTGAATGGACCAGACCCGTTTGAAAATAAAATCGGACGGGTTGGGCCGGGTAATAGAAAAATGAATGTTGGAATCAAGAAGGGTGAGAGCAAAAGTCAGTCAGTTTGGGAGAGAGAGATTGAGAGGAAGGAGAGTTACTGAGTCTAAGAATTGAATGGTTGTATTCAGAAATTTGGAGCCGCCCCACCCTGCTCGGTTTTGTGTTTCAAAATCAAACACATAGGTCCCGGCCCGAACGCGCCCAGAACCGCTAAGACCTGCTCCGACCCACGGTTCCAGAGCCCAAAACAATGGTTTTTGGACTCGGATCAAATAAATTCGTCAGGGGCATTATCGTCTAATCACATCGGTTCCCAATAGAAGTTGGACTTAGTGTAGACCACGACCTTCTGGAATGCTCATCTCACCGACTGTAGCACGCAGTATATATACACTCTCACTCCATCGTCCTCCCAAAACGCAAAAGCTTAAACCCTACACGCACCCGACCCTCGAAATCGAAAGACTCCGCTCAAATTCCCAAACTTTTATCGAATCCATGGCGATAATCTCCGACATCCAGGAGGAACAGAGCTCGCCCGAGACGAAGCCTTCGCAGGCGGCGGCGGCGGCGTCGTCGTCGTCGTCGTCGAAAGCGGCGACCTTTACCGCGAAGTTGGATCGCTCGAACCCTCTAGGGTTAGTGGAGAAGGTGTTGGAATTTCTTGCTCAGGAGAGCGATTTCTTCAAGAAGGAGACGGCGGAGAGGGAGGTCGCATCGATCGCGCGCGCCTTGAGGGAGAAGGAGAGGAAGAAGGAGGAGGAGGAGAGGAAGAAGAGGAGGCAGGCGGAGGAAGAGAGGAAGAAGAAGGCGGAGGCGGAGAAGAAGTCGAGCGAGGGGCCGAAGGCGGAAGTTAAAAAGGAGGAAACTGTGGAGGAGGGTAAGAAAGAGGAGGAGAGTAGCTTGAGAGGTACCAAATCTTTTTTCTTTGCTTTAAATTTGATTAGAGTTCCACTTTCTTTTAGGGTTTAGTATTGATATATCTGAAATTTTAATTCTTTTATACATAAATTAAAAGGGGCGACCCCAAGCTAGTTTCAGGGACGTCTATCGTTCGCAGTCTTATCCTTGCTTTGAATGGAATAATGTGTCTTTGTTCTGTGAAACATAAAAAGTTTGAATCTTTCAACCAATTTGATATGATTGTTCGCCAATGCCTGTTGGGATACCAGTGTTTTGGATGTGTGTAAATTCTTGTTTTTCCTATGTAACACCAAGCGATTTGAACAGTTCCGAACAAAGGGAATGGACTGGATTTGGAGAAATACTCGTGGACGCAGAGCCTACAGGAGGTTAATGTTGTTATTCCCGTGCCGACTGGAACTAAATCTAGGTTCGTTGTGTGTGAGATCAAAAAGAATCATCTGAAGTTTGGACTGAAGGGGCAGCCTCCGATCGTCGATGTAAGTCTTCTTTTGGATGGTTATTGACTTTCTAAATTAATGTCTATGAAACAGATTCCTAAAAAAAAAAAAACAATTAGATTTAGTAGGAAGATGGTTGTTCATCTGACTAATTTGAGACAACGGATGATTATCTGGTATATTCCGTTTAGGTTATATTTCCATCGACTAATGTAAGCCCTAATACTTGCAGGGTGAACTTTTTCAAGCTATCAAGCCTGATGATTGTTACTGGAGCATAGGTATGTCAATTAACACAGTTCAACTTATTACTTATCATTTTGCTTATGTACAATGGAGTATAACACAGCATTGAAAAATGTTTCACTTTTCTAAATAGAAATTAGAGTCATAAGTACTTGGTGAATTGATCACATGGTGCCCTGCTCTTTACTCTTAAAACAAATTTTAAACACGTCGGATTGCTTTGCAGGGTTCCGTGGTTATGAGTTTCACTCGATTTCTACACTTGGTTTTTTAGGACGTAGTGTCTTTTAAATGCGTGTATCATGTTTCTCTGATTTTCCTAATTGTAATCCATGGGTTTTTGAGCACATGAGCTATTTGAATGCATAATATCCATGCTAATTCCAGAGGACCAGAGTGCCGTCTCAATTCTACTGACCAAGCACAATCAAATGGAGTGGTGGAAAAGTCTGGTGAAAGGTGATCCTGAGATCGACACTCAAAAGGTTGAGCCTGAGCCCAGCAAACTGTCTGACCTGGATTCTGAAACACGCCAGACTGTTGAAAAGATGATGGTAATTCTCCCACTTCTGCTTTTTTTCTCTCTGCATTTTGTTTTTCGCTGCTGGTAGTTATTAACCGATGAGCATCTGTGAAAGGGCATTTTACTTGCTGTTTGGTCCACCATGAGTTTATATGTTCACCATTCATGTTCACGTTGCTGCCTATTTGTACGTTTTGTTTCTTCATGGTTACTAAGAGGTGTATGTTTTGATTTTACAGTTTGACCAGAGACAGAAGCAGATGGGGCTCCCCACTAGCGAGGAGATGCAAAAACAGGAAATCTTAAAGAAGTTCATGTCCGAGGTAATTTCTTGAGGCTCGTCTACGCTACTCATTCAATCAAGAAGGTTCCCTTTTGCAACTGGTATGCAAATTTGCTTACACTGTTTATATATCGTTCTGTTGCAGCATCCGGAGATGGACTTCTCAAGGGCCAAGATACAGTAAATCTGAGTTGTTCAGTTCGCAGACAGACTAATAACTTTTGAGTTTGATTAGCAGAGAGAGAGGAAAAAGAACTTTTTCGTTCAGCTACTGCTTAATGTTGTTTTAGAAAACAAATTGATGTCATCGGTGTGTGATCTTTTTACGGGTGTTTAGGGTGTCTAAACTGGCTCGACGCTGTTAATATTGTGGGATTTGGTTCATTTCTGGATAATAGTTTGATTAGCATAACTTCTTGGCTTCCCTGCACATTTTATCTTTCGAGTTTGATTGGTTGCTTGAGGCGATTTCTTAACATTGTTTTGGCAACAAGAGAGTCTGGGCTACCTGTGCAGTTGCCCTCTGCCTTTTTCTTGTTTGCATCTCTTGCCCAGAAATAAGGCCTTTCAGGTGCATTTTGGGTCCCAACCACAAACAATGAGGCTAAATACTCTTTTGGGTCCATCCTATTGGAGGTAATTTGAAACACCATTAATGGTATTTTTTTACTTGTAAATAAGAGGTTTTATGTTTTATTTTCGTCAAATGCGAATTTGAATCATATTATTGCGAGATCATTACAAGGCTTAGCTCATTCCTCCACCTTTTAGTGTAGACAATATCATTTAGTTTATAAAAAAAAAAAAAAAAAAGGCTATTTGCGAAAGGTTTGTAGGTCAAAAGTGGCTTATGTTGTAGGATGTGATGTCGTTTTGCGGTTGTATGTTTTTTATTTTTGTTAAACGATATATTTTATTTTATTAGATGTTAGATTAATATCGACAAGATTTAAATTCATGTCGTGAAGCAAAGACTTCACATTTTTATTACCATTGTGATAGAGGGTCTTTTGCGGCTGTATTTCAATCCGAATTGTAAGTTCTCACATGATTGTGGTTGCTTAATATTATTACAACAGTGTTCACTTAATTGTCTCTTCGTCGTATGCATGTCTTGTGACTTGGGGACTCAGATCCTCTCCTAAGCTGTTGCCAATGGGGCCTAGGGTTCAATTGATCCCAGCCCTTCAAATTCATCATGCGGCCAAGAATGGCCAAGCAGCTTTCAAATTTTTTTCATGCAACCCAAGGCAATTTTTTTTGCCTTCCCTACAATTCCCGCTCCCCTAACAAATCAGCTACACACAGGACTCTAATCCCATCTCTCATCACCGGAAACCCACCATAATTCGCCGGATAATTTAGTCAAACCCGCATGGCCGGATTTGCATGCTCCAACTCCCAATCCCGTCAACGAAGATCTCTCTCACAAGGCTATTCCCACACCCAAAGATCTCAGCTTTCGCTTATCTTCTTCCACCTCTCTCTCTCTCTCTTTTCCCGTTTCTCTCTATTTCCAACCCTCTCTCCTTTTTTGCCGCAGGATGAATTTGAAGGGCTGGGATCAATTGATCCTTAGGCCCCGTTGGCAACGGCTCAGGAGAGGATCTGAGTCCATGACTTGGTGCATTTTTTGCAGTGATATCCGACCTAATTGTGCCATTTGGCATTTAAGACTTTGAGACGTGCATGCCTTAAAGTTTAGGGAGGGAATCTTTTCTGCAACGCTCTGCCATTTGGCATTAAATGTTGAGAGTTGTACCACATTGGTGTGGAACAATATTTTCTATATGCTTATATGATCTTGAGTTACTTTCTATATTGTCAATTGGTTTTATGGTAGAACCTCAATTTCATCATGGTATCAGAGCGGGTTGTTCTCGTGTGACGTCAAACGGCCACACGCGCTCCACGTCACTTAGTTGTTGTCCATGTGTAGGCTTGAAAATCCACCACACATGCGGGGGCGTGTTGAGAGTTGTACCACATTGATGAGGGACAAGGTTTGATATGTGCTTATACGATCTTGAGTTACTCTCTATATTACCAATTAATTTTATGATAGAATCTTAATAAGGATGGTTTAGGGAGTCAAGCTTACGCGTTATCTATGGACACCTCGAATTATTATGCGTTTTAACTTTTTAATGCAACGAGAAGCAAATAAATTGTGCGGTTGTAGGTAAGCGAGCGAGGAACGTGTCGAAATTGTTCGACTTTGTCCCACGCTCGAGCATCCTTTTGACTTTAAATGTATCAGAGGCCACCACAAACTGCCACGTGCCCCTAAATGCCACTTGGGTCACTGTCGGCTGTCCCTTTCCATTTAAAAGGTTGTGGGATCCCCCACAAATTGTCCTGTTGTGAGGGAGGGAGGGAAGAAGGGAGGGAGGTCACGTAACACTATAGGCCCTAGAAAAGGACCCCCTTGTTTTATACTCTATTCATCCCTTTTTGGTTTGGGAGGGAGAGAAGGGACTCGCTCACTCGGGAGGACTTTGTTTGTTCCCCGCTACCGCAATCACATTTCGCATGGTCCTCTGTGTCCTTTGTTGTGCTGGACATCCCCAATTGAATAGCAGAGAGCGCATGCCTCTCTGTAGCGTTGTGCATCTTTTCTTATAACCACGGCAAATGTCTTTTTCAGTCTTGGTTTGACATGATTTAAGTGTTAGTGTTTTTCGAAAGAGTTAATATCTCCATTACTTAAACCCCTTGCTAGTTGCTACCCCTGTACCCTTGTTAATATCGAAAGATGATATCATAGATCGTGTTACAATTCTAAACTGGGTTAATTAGGGTTCCAATTTCTTGATAGAGATTTTGCCACCTATGTAAATAAGGGCAAAATCACGTGAAATACTTGCAAGAATACAAGGATGTCGTAGTATAGATGCTTATGCAAGGTTGTTCTCCTCAATGACTATTTAAACAATTTATGTAAAAACAATTCCTAATTAACTACTTTAAAACTTGAGAAAAGAGATTTTGAGATTGGGTAATATTAAAAATGAATTTTAAACAAAAACTAATATAATCGAAGAAAAGAGTTTTAAATACCAATTTATAAAGGTATTAGGGTTCCACTATCACCTAGCAATCCTACGAATTTCTACCAATTACTTATGATCTACACATGCCACTTTGAAGGTTAGGTTTTCCTAATATATATTCTCCTCGTGATATTCAAGCAAGAACGTATATCTATCATGCAATCCGTCTGTGATATTCAGATAAAATATAAACATGTAAGACTCATTAAATTCTATGAAAACCTTTTGAAAAACCATGCAATCCCTAAGAGTGTGATATTCGCCTTAGATGAAATTACAATTATCAATCACAAGAAGCAATACTCAATCCTCCGGTGATATTCCGACCGAATTGCATCCAATTACTTGTCTAAACATCCTAATGATGGCCAGTCATCAAGACAATTAGATAGTTTAAAACAGTGATCAATAATTCAAAGTGTGCATGCAATCAATCATAAGCAATTTAATAAAAATTACATATTCATGCTAAGGCTCAAGGTTTCGCCCTAGTAAGAGAAATTAGTTACGCATATTCATAGTTGAAATCACAGAAAATATTATTAAAAATAAAAGGAATGAAAGCACCTTAAAGTAGAAAATCTCCAAGAACCCTAGCCAAGTTCTTTGTCTCTGAAGTTGAATAATAATAAGCGTCCCTCCAAAACTGTAGACGGCAAAGCAATATATTTGCTAAGCCATCGCACAAAACCTAAGACATAGGTCTCTTATTCCAGCTAGGAAACTAAATAATAATAAAATAGCTTAGAAAATAAAGTTCTAATTAAACTAGGAGAATCTGCCAAGTAATTGTCCAGCCACGTTTTAGCCTTAGATCTCCTCCAAATCTGGCCCAAGATAGCTTGTTTTAAAGATCAGGACATTCCGAACACATCTCCAGAAGGCCATGAAACCATCCGAGGTTATCTTGGGCTCCAAAAACGCAATTTAAGCCCAGAAACGTCAATTTCCAGCACCACGCTCATTTATTTTATTGCCAGAAAATAACCGTTTGGTGGAAACATCCCAAATTTTGATACGATCAAGCTAAGTAACTCACGAACGTCCTCCAACTGGAATTACTCTAAAATTCATCCATTTGACAACGTTTTGCTCCAGATGAAGTCGAAAGTCCTATATTAGAAATACAATTCAAAGTTTCAAAATTCTTCCAAAATATACTAAGAATAGGGTTAAATATATAATATAAAATCACTTATCAATCCACTTGCATTTGATTAATTATCATTCCATGTGCAAACACAAGCTTTTGATTGTTTTGCTAGTGTGGTGGGGCTAATGGCAATCGTTTTCGACCGGCTCTTTCCCTTGAAAGAATATGAAAAGGGGGATTTAGCTGCCAAACCCTTTTTCTTTTTAAGTTTTATGTGCGTTGGGATATGTTGAGGCTTCTCTCTTTAAGTGGGATGTGTTTTAGCTTACTGCCATATTTAACTCTTTAGGTTGAAAATTCAACTTGATGAGAAAGCGATGCATTCTTACTCTTCCAACAGTTTCACAGGCAAAGAGCCGATCGATTTAATTCTGGATTAATTAGCACTTGGACTAGTTTGAATGGTAGGGTATTAGAAAAGGGTTGGGATGTATACCTTTAGACTTTCAATTCAGTGTTCCTAATTATTGAACTAACAGATACATTTTTGTGAACGTAGCTGGGGAATCCTTTAATGCTCAAGATGCATAGCGTCGTCCTTAGATCGAGCTGACGCTTTGACCAACTGATGTAGCACGATAGTGAAGTGAAATGAAATTAAGAGAAATAAAAACTTAAATATAGGGTCAACTACCTGAAACCCCCAAAACCCCATCTCTAGCATCACTCTACAAATGCATAGAACTAGGAAAACAAAGGCTGAACAATCTCACAAGAGAAAGACTCTAAATTACATAAAGTAATCTGATTAGCTAAAAAACTCCTTGGCTGTTATTAAATGCTACTGATTCATGTTGAGCATTCATTTTATCCCAACGTTACACAAATGCAATGACCAACAAATCTGCATCAATTATTCGTTTATGCAGTCCAAACTGGCTCTAGTTGGACTCAAACAATTGTATATTTCGTCACAAAATTGGCCAAAGAAAATATTTTCTTTAATAAGATAACAATTTAGAAGAAAAGAAAAACTTTTTTTTTTTTGAAAACTTGGTGAAAACGATCATTTTTTAAATCTCAGTTGCTAAAATGATTAATTTTCAATCTTTCACCAATATTTGATGGATGTCTAGTCAATCTTTGATCGCTATATCGGTCATAATTGATCAATATTCATTTTAACAATTGAATTGAATTTATGATTATTTTAGCTAGTTTTCCTTTCTTTCTTTTTTCTTCAAGTCCAAAAACCATTTTGTTCTTCTTCCAAAAACTTAAGTT